TGAAGGACAATTGAATCTATGAACTATAATCTCTGTGCACACATGGCCACTGCCGCAAAGTTCTAGTTCTGAGACTTTCGAGAGCGCTCGAGACAGTCCTTTCAGCGAGCTAAGCAATGCAAGTTAAATAAATAAGGGTTAACTTACCGTGCGACTGGACAACCTTAGAGTATTTTGGCAATCCCTCTTCCCTTCTGTGAGGAGCTCGCCAGCGCCGACTGGAGGCGCTTTCGAGAACTGGAACCGCTTTAGGACCTTAATGTAACATGGGATTCAACTGTCGTCCCACATAGTTACGAATGGGTATCTTGTGCATTCGGTACGCCTGACGAACGAGCGCTTGTATTGGTGAGCAGACATTTATTCAGCCGGTACAAATAAAGTATTTACTTTAATAAAGCATAAAAGTACTAGTATAGAAATGATGACAATAGGTTTTTAAATGGTATGAGGCTAGGCCTGATCTGAATTTTGGCCCGTGCTATACGAATATTCTCGTATAAACCAAAGCCTTCACTTCCTCCTACATGAGATTAATAGGACAAGAAAAATGCGAAGTTGAAAAGATATGGCAGCCTCGGTGCTTTACCATTTTAAACGGAACAGGTTCAATTTAAAAATGAGAGAATTTTGTACAAGAAACATTAATATAATATACGTAACCTTTCCATCAATAGTGCTAACAGTAAAACGGTATTTCGGAGCGCGTAAGCAGAATGGCATAAATTCGAAAAGGCTTTTAAAGAGGCCAGCCCCTTTGCCGTTCATAGTAAACACGGATGATTTTCCCTAATGGATATAAAAGTACAAACAGCTATACACTATATATACGCAGGTACTATGTTTGGCTTTAATAAGGGAAGTCACAGCAGCGTAACGAGCAACACTCGTTTTAAGAGAAAGATTCGAGTAGAGCATGGTCAAGTATGAACGAAAATGCAGTGAACACATGTTCGTATCAAAGGGCTAAAGGACCAATCGCCAAATTCAGAAACAAGGCTCTTCCAAACAAAACAACCCTGGACAGCATGTATCTGCGAAATTTTGTAGCACGATTAGTCAGAATCAAGATAGAAAGAACCAGTCAATACGCGAAAATTAAATTCTGTTTCTAAACGGCTCTCAGGTTCATGTGGTCTCGTCACGAGATACTTTTTTCCCTGAGTCAAGCAGTCGGCACCGTGGACCAAACGAATCGCAAATAATCTATCACTATCCATGGAAACCATAACGAACTAAATTTCGACGGTTCATGTAAGCCTGTATACATGCGTAGGTGTACCTATACGTGGATGGCCTGCATTGAGATGATAGCTCTACGACACCCTAACTAGGCCACGCTTCGACGCAGTAACAGCGTATACGATGGTAATAGCGGGTTGCGGTTGCCCTGCGCGCATACAAATATACAGCTGGCTGTAAAGAGAGAAAATCTGTCAAGAGAGACTCAATGCCAGCTGCGTCCTGCGCGCTGTTAAGATGCTGTGGTATAGCTATTCGACTCTGTGCTATAGTATCTATGCCTACGGGGCGACCACACGACCCGCACTTCTGTTAGGCCGCTTTCGTTTTATGCGACAATTGTCCACCACAGATAGGCATGTCTGATAGTTGTATCGGACACCGATGCTCATGTATACAGATAGAGAAATGCGGAATAAAGGATCCCATTATAGAAGAGACTATGTGCGTGTATCCCAATAGGTGTAGTGTATTGCGTCGTAGCTCAATGTTGTCGATGTGTAGCGCGAGCGGCTATTTTTTTTTACCAAAATCTGTCAAAAAGTACAATGTACGTTGTTGAATGGTTCACAATGGAACTACTTTATTCCATACGAGAGCTGCGACTATACGACCGTGACGGTTCGACATCGTTCGTTATTCTCGATCGTATGGGAAATACTTAATGGTAACACCAAGCAGCGAAGCGGCCTGATTAGAAAAAAAACCTTCCATGCTTAACGTTGTTGATCTTAGCGTCGATTTTTCAGGAAGAAAATCTTTTTTAGGCCAAACGTCTAAAGGCATCGATAGGCAAATGCGTGTGACTGTGGGTGTCATCGCACTCGCTTCCATCTGGCAGATCGGTTCTAATTTGTGTATCGCGAACAAATCGGATACAACATAAACGGATCCTTCTGTCTTCACGCTATAATCGTATAGAATTGACGTTTAAATCCGGCCTCGGTCGAATTTCTGTATGTTTTATTTGCATAGAACTTACAATCAATACACACCAATTGTACTATTGTGCTTTCATAACTATGTCCTTCGAAAAATTCGACAAATAATTATAATGGCTTTAAGTGAAATTTTTCGTTTTTTTGCGAAAAGAAGTTGTCTTGATATGTTCCGCGGAAGCAAGGTCGAAGGCTAATCTTGATCAAACTATTTCTAGTCAACTTCGATGTCGGGCTGATAAGTGCGAAGAGCCTATCGCTTGGGGCCTTGATTATGACATATATGCCAACAAAACATCATAGTATTGAAGAATATCACGCACACTAATGCCTTCCTTCGCTGAACGTACTATTGACTAGAGCTGTCACCCTGTTACGCCGTACGATTGCGATCTTGAGGGACAGTTTTAGCTATTGATACCGCTCGCCTGTGTGAACTGCATCCCTGTATCCTAAACGAAGTAAGAGGGATTATCCTGTTACATACGACAAGCTTGCTGCTTCAACGATGATTCCATTAGGTAAGAAAAAGTGATGATTGATGAGCAATGCCCGAGACATGTCTTCGTGCATTGCAGTCCTGAGTCTCCTGGATGGACTGCGCCTTGAAGCGGTCAATAACAACGTTAGCCGTATTACCTATTTAGTTGACGATTTTTTTTGTATTTTTCCAGACTGTTAAACTCGGCCACTTGTTCACGTAAGATCACTGTAGATGATAAACGAACGAAAAACATCCCCCAACCTAATCATGTCGTCCGGGCCATATACTTTATTAGTGGAGAAGTAGGACAATGGGCCTGGATTTTTCATCGGAGGAATTAGTGTTTTAAAAGAGGCGGCCGTAAGTGGACACGCGTCTCCTATCCATGAAATAAGATTTATATAAATGAGTTCCATTATTGACCTCTTTCCATTATTAGGCCTCTTTTACGGTTGTCCTTGCGTTCTTCTTCCTTTTAAAGAATAATAAGATACAAGGTTTTCTCTAGATGCGTTCTCTTAAGAAGTTACTAAGCAGATTCTAAACCTATTGAGTGTATCGATGTGGTACATAGCTCGGTGACGAATGCAGGATGCAATTTTTATGAAGGACAAAGTTCCCTCGCTCATGCCAACAGTTGAGTTTCATAGTCACCTTTGGCTGGACGTCAACGGTTCGCTTATATCTTCGTGAGTAACCATCCCCGTTTTTAGTTACGCTAGCCACTGTTTTTCTATAGAATTAATTTTCGTTAGTTTTCAAAAGATTAAGAAACGCGCTGCTGTCTCAGTGAACTTCTGCAGCCATTAATTTTTACGTAAATACATCTATCTGCGAATACTGGTAGAGCCAAGATGTGGATAGTATCTTATTGGCTATTCGCATCACCGTAACCTCTATAGACGTCAGAGGTGACTATACAACACCATGTAGGGGTTGAGCGGATCTTTTTGTATCTCAAAAAAAAAAATAGTAGTAACGCCGCGGTATGGACAAATAGCCGGATACACTGGCACCGTATAGGTACTATCTGTAGTAAGTAATGATAAAAAGTTTTATTATAACGTGGTCAATTGGATCGTTACAAATTCTCTCGCTTTGAAAACAGTTGAGGTAATATAACTAGATGCTGCCCGCTCCTAACATATAATGATCATTGAGCAGATCAATACAACGCGTATCGGGTCCGAGCTTTCCCGCTACCGCAGAACACGTTAACAACGAATAAACGTATAGGCGTGACTGAAGTTTTGCTTGAGAATTTCACGTTTACGTCATTTACCGTCTCATGTCACAAATACTCGAATAGACAGAGGGATTTTTGGCTTGTGCAATCGTTACATAGTTTGTTTAAATATGGAAGGATATTTTCGGCTCGCTTAATGTTCGAGACGAAGCCTGTAATTTTTTCCCGATACGCTTACGTGACTCTGCGATGAAAGTTTGCCACTTATAGAGACACCTATCTAGGTAGAACAGCAACAAGCAAGTATATCTCCATTTATTTAGTATTCATTAACTAGCTAGTGAATCGAGACAAGCGAGAGTGCTTGTTGTGGGTTATTACGACCATCAAAAATCTAACAGTTCTCATTAAAATAACAAATTCCACGTATGTGTTTAGTAGATGCTAAACTAGGATCGAAGGAACATGGGTCTCCCATTTCTGCTTACCTAGAAATACGATTTGATCGTGATCAGGTGACCGAGTACGCCCATTGGTCCACGACTGTGCTATGAGCAAACAGCTGAATGCAGACGGATGCTCAAACATGAGACTAAGACCAACATTTCCGGCTGTTGTTATTCCACACGAAATATTCTTGTATAAATTTCGTCTGCTGGCGCCTCATTTCCGGATGGTGGGATTATATCACACGTGCGCATTAGGGAGTCGCCGTTGCTTAGTAAGGCACGACCAATATATAGATTTTTGCTCCTTAGCCGACCTTCTCGGTCTAACAACGTTTATAATTTTCGACTTTCAAGTCTGGATTATACGATGTGTGCTTACCTGCGCCAAATACAACTAAACGATATGTTAGCATTAACGCGAATACAAACATAACAATACGAAGTTGATAAGCGATCTGAGCTCATAAATACCTATATGATGAAGCGATCTCAAGGTGCCCTAACGGACTTCCCTTTATTAGAAGGAAAAAGAATCGAAATGCTCCTATAGATTGGGTTAATTCATTTGGCAGAATGTGTCAGGAAATATTGAATTCGATTTGTGATTGAGTGACGCGTATTGTGTATATAGCAGCCATAGTATCATATCTGACTGTGACTGATCCAACGAAGATATTGCTATCTTATTGTAGAGGCTGGAATCTGCCAGAGGTTGTTGCCATGAGCTGCAGGATATCACAATGCGCTCACTCCAGAAGCAAGGTTATTATGGGAGAACATGCGTCTTTCTTAACTGTAGTAAGTATATTTCGTATAATAATATTACAAGGTAAATATATTTATTCCCTATCTTAACTTAGTTTGATAATGGGGACAAAATGAGGTTCCGAAGTATTTTTGAATAGATAATTCAGTTCGAACATCTACAAATCATCATATCTGCCTTCGAATATGCTTAATAATTGATTTAATCTTGAACCTTAATAATAATAAAAAATAGTAATCATCACGGATTTTATGTACAAGTATCGCCAGATCATCGCCACCGACTCGCTAATTTCACTAAATGCCTCCAATGTAAAAAGGTTTTCATATAATTGTGATCTGGTGCATGGAAAGGGTCGATATTTTGTCTCAAGGTCTGTACCTTTTCGAGGATATCCTTGGTCCCATTTAAATCCATAATGGCACAACAGTGCAACATGCGCTGAGACCATTTTATCTCACTCTAATTTATTTTTGGTCACAGAAACTCATCATGGAATCGGTGGTAAGCCATCTCAATATGTTCCTTTTTGAAGCAGTGCGTGAGCTAGAAGTTCTAAACTCTACGCGAGAGAAGTACAGCTTTGCATAAAAAAAAAAATATATATATAATAAAAAAACAACGTTCTGAATAGGGAGAGGAACAGAACTTACAGCCCCAAAACCCTTTCTAAGTAGTCTTTTATAGACTAAAAAAGCTATCGGCTTCGAACTGCCACGGCTGTCTATTTACCTACGACGAGGCCGTGTCGGCTCGACGCTCGTACTTCATAGCTGGGATATTACACCTAAGCAAAAGTCAAAATACAAGTTATAAGTACGCTGGAATAAAGTTAAAATATTTTAATTTATCAATAAAATAGAAGGCACTGCCCAAATTCAATCTTATACTTTAACCTAATTAAATTATCAAAGGGCAACCGCGTTAGCTGCCACTACTGTTTTACTGTGTCAAACAAACATGACTAAACTATACAAACGAATGTTTGTTTCTTTGCTTTGAACCTGTTGTATCTCACGCCCGAGATATGATGATTCATCTCTATAATTTATCTATCTCACTCGCAGAAGCTCAAGGCAAACCTCATCTAAAGCAGCGGACGGTGACGTATGATTTATTCCACATTTAAAAAATATATAAATAGGAAGATCGTACTCGGCGTCAAATGCCTGTGTTTACTGGCAGAGATGATGGCATGTTTAAGTTTCCAAGGGCGACACTCCGGGTGAATCTTCAAGCTTCTCTTTTTGAACAACATATGATCTGCTGACCATGTTGCTTTTCGGTTTGGTGTAGTCCTTTATCCCGCCAGTGAACCAACTTTTATACTGATGCTCGAAAATCAAATGATTAAGTTATGATGTTCTCTTGTTACCTAAAATACTATTGTTTTTCTTCTAACCTAGCAAAATATTTTTGGGACTTGTAATATATATTTCCATATGATTAAGTTCCGTGACAAAAAGTCAAGCCACGTTCATGCAATGGTCAGCAAAGGCGTTTATTTCATATTATAAGGACGCTTTTGGGCAGCGTGTTTCCTAGGTAGAGTCTTTATCAGTTATCTATGATGATTATTTATCAGTACCTATGACAGACATTTTTCAATTATATTACTACCAAATTTGAATTTTGGAAATAACGAGCTTTTTTAAAACAATTTTTTAGGCGTTTCATCAGTTGCGACAACAGCCCAAGTATTTTGCTTCACATCAACGAGATGCGTGCATTTCCGAACCTTTATCACGTCTGCACCTAGCAACACCTACAACGATAGGACGAAGAAACGTAAACGTTTAAGGATAGGAAGTTTGAAGCACTTATAGTTTTGGAACAATGGACAAAATGCGGTTATGAGTTATCCAGAATACCAACAAATGACATATGGCTCTGCCTGTGCTGTAACAAGCGAAAGAGGACAAGACTTGTCTATGATGTAGGGAAAGCAAGGTAGGTTGACAAAGTAATTTTTCAATTAAGGCCTAACCTTCTTAAAGTTCGGAGAAAAGTAGGTTCACAAGTTGATACAAATGCTGCCTTAGCCTGGAAAGCGACTTTCCCCAATTGTAAGCACTTGCATTCCTTTTACTGTATGTAGAAGCTTAATTAAACATTATCAAACATATTCTAACGAGCCCTTGATGTTATGGGATTACGCTTTCGTTGAGCCGCATTTATGACTACGTCTTCTTCTCATTCCTGCCAACCCGAAAAGTAGTTTACCTATCTGCATGCCTCCGTCTATATACTTTTAGTCAGAATCGGGCTGACACTTTCTTTTATACCCATTAAACATGGACAATCCTAATTATTTGTTGAAAGCTTCGCATACTTACCGTGTCTTTTTTGTTTATTTACTATTAACTGAAAACAATTCCACTCTCACGCAGATAAGGCGAAACAACAAAGTTTTTCGTCACCACTCAAATCCTTTTTGTAAATTGTGCTTTACGTCTTATTTTGAATTTGGCAAATTTCATCTTAACAAATATTCAACTGAAACTAGCCCGTTGCGGATGCCGGTTAGTTGACTGGTCTAATGATGGACTTTGGTAAAACTGTAGAAGATTAGGGGATGGGTCGATATAGGGAGAGCACTTTCCAATAAAAAGAGTTCTTTCATTGAAGTGGGAGTGAATAAAAAGATGTCTTTCACTACAAAAGAAAGAATGAACGAACCTATAGACACAATTGACGCAAAACTTCAATGATGACATCTCGAAATGCATTGAGATATAAGATCAGCCAACTACTTCAATTCGCTTCATTGAAATAAACTGACAGCACTTATGGGTATCTCATGAGAATGAAATCTTGGGTTGTCTATTTTTATCCATGAGCAAAGTACCCACTCCTGAATTAAGGTCAAGGTGTGTGCGCCTGTGCCCGATGTTTTTCTTAGTAAACCCGGTATTTAAAATTCTCCCTCTTAACGTGAAAGCCTACGATGGAACAAGTTTTTACCGATTGTTTATAGCATGTGTGCGCGCGTATTTCGTACAAATGGAATAGTCTCATAACTGCAAACGCTGTTACATGCACCCCTTGGTATCATATGTCTTGAACCTATTTAATTCCACTCTGCAATCTGCAAGACTGAATTCTGCACAAAAAACTATGGAAAGCGGCTCATTTTCTCTATTTGACGGTTGCCATAAATAAGTTTACCTATGGAATGAGCACTCAGCGGAAAGATGATCAATTTAAAAGCTGACGTGGTGCAGGGCAGTGAAACCATGTTTAGGTTACTCGCTTTCCTTCGAAAAACGTACCGGCATCGAACCGCCTTTGCTACTGCTGCTGCTGCTGATGCTTGTTGGTGTATAACGCCGCAATTCGAAAGGCATGTATGGCAGACTAAAGCCATAAAGCAGATGGCCCTCCTATCCAGAAGATGATCTAAATTTGCGGATGAATAGTTGACCGAGATATGTTGTAAAGCCAGCTTATATTTGGGCATGAGAGTTGAAGCTGTTAACATCCAGGCGAAAGTCGTAGATTACACTATCATTGGGGAATGATGTAGTTGTGTTTAAGGCAGGATAGAGGAAACAATAGGTCGTTTGAAACACGGCAGTCTCCAGGATACGTCAATATCGCTGTGACTGCACCGTATGGATTGAGCACGACGTAGATGATAAGAGCTTAAGCGGAAGTTGAACATTGCCTCCAGTATACCTATTTATGATGTAACAGTGTGTAGAATATTGTGTGCCCTGTTCAACGCTGCAGTGCTACTTATTAGGATTGATCTGCTGGTAGAACCCGCATTTTAGGATAACCTTGTGTAATTCGTTTCCAGCCTGTAGCTTACTAGTGCCAGATAAAATAATAAAGTTAATATATATGAACGTTGGATGCACTTTAAATATTAAAAATACGAGTACATAAAAAATTGACTAGTTCGAAAAAACGCATACAACTAAAGTGCGATAAATTCCGCCTAGGTCAGCGAGTTTCCCGGAAGGCCGGTTCAGGCCTTGGCAGTAGCGCCCTAACGAAGGATCGGGCGGGTGTTGCTGGACCCCTACCGAGCGCGTTACCAGGTAACGGATAGGGGAATGCCTATTAGATATGATGGGTACCGGTAAACGATATCCGGCGCGGACCAAAGCCAGTCCTTAGGGAAATCCTCACCGTTTACTTTACCCCGGCGTGAAACGGAAACAGTGGGCCCTCGAGGACTCTCGCGGCCGGGAAAAGCCAAGTCATATGAGGCTTCAACGACCTGAAGAGCAGGAGAACAGTGACAGGAAGTTGGAGGATCGGAAAGCCGGAGGAAATATGACAAATCCCATGATAAAACTGTGAGACACTGACAGGGTGGCAGATAGTATAGGGACCCGGGTGTCCAGCCAACACCACCTGGCTGTCCTATCATCTGACCGAAAATCCCGTTATTGTTGCAGTGCTGGATGGCGACCCGATGGGATCCCGCAGCAATATTCGGGGAGCATTGCTGAAGCCACACGTGAGAAACCTCACCTAGTGATAAAGATACGTCAGAATGCCTATGGCTTGAACGACCGACGCTATATGTGATCCAGGAGCCGATTAAGATACAAAGGACTCAGAACACGGAAAATAAGACAAAAATAAATGCCGATATCACAGTGCCACTGGCAGGCGGGGCTCCCAGCTCAAGAAGAACCTATGCACATGAGGAAAAGGAACAAGGGAGAAACCGAGAAGTGGAAGGGAAAGACTCCTCCAAAAAAACTTCTCTGAATGAAAGGACGCCAGCAAGACCAAGACAGGCAACCGATAAGGACGGTACAGGGGAACAGGCTAGACCAAATTCAAAGGCTCGTTCAGGAGAACTCCAAAAGTAGGTACAAAGGATCGAAGTACAAGACAAGGAAGAGATGCAAATAAATTACGAGGGGGCAACCCCGTCTAAAATACAAGAACAAGCACACTCAAGGAAAAGAACGATGGAAGAAGTGGTCTCACCAAATAACATGGAGGAGATAAATCCATCGGATAAAAGGTGAAAGGAGACTAAAGAGGAAATATTGATAGAATCCAGAAGTGTAGACGAGGCCATTGATACAGTGAAAAAGACTCTCTGGAATCCTAGAAATTTTATGCGACAAGCACAGGGTCACACCTTGTGACATCAAGGAAAATGCTAGACAACTAACCAGAGCGGCCAGAACCTTGGTTAGAACAGAGGTGCTGAGGACGAAGGCCGAGCTTAAGCGACGAGGAAGACTGAAGGAACAAGACGCTACGACGCTAGAGGAATTAGGGCTACATGATGCACAAGATAGACAGAGGGGAACGGAGGACGCAAAAATATACAGGGAAAACAGAGAAGGCCACCTTTGCAATGGATGCAATAAAATAGTGGAAAAAGAACGTCTACAAGAGATTAGGGACGCAAAGATAGAGGCGGAAATAGCCGCAGCAAAAAGAGAAGAAGACCTTAAGCTAGTGGCAAGGAAGGGATAGTCCCAAAGAGCCTTTAAATGTGTTAACACAACAAAAGAAAGTGTCCTTGCTATCAGAGACACAAGCGCTATAATAATTGAAAAGGGCCTTGAGAGGGACCAAAAGCTGTTGAAACAACTAAGTGCTCAAATCCATGGAGCTAAAAAGGCAGCAAAATTGACAACCGATAGTGTTGCAATATTCACGAGCAGCAATTCCTGCAACCTTATGTCAGGGGAAGCGGATGGGGATGAAATATCTGAGGATGCAACCAGGAAAATACTAGTAGGTATGATTAACAAAGAAGGGACAGAAGAGGGTCTGATAAAAATAACCAAAAAAGTTTTCAAAGCCATAAAGGAAGAAAGAGGACAAAAAATCACGCGCAATACAAGTGATCGATCAAGCAGACCATGATTCAGGCCATCACGAAACTACTCGAAGTGTATAGTAAATATTTTGGGTGTGAAATGAAGCTATGCAAAAAACAAACGGAGGGTCCGCAACTCCAAAGCATGAAAACAACCAGAAGAAGAAAGAACCGATGGCAAAAGGGAAACAATAAGAGGAGACCTCAACAATAAGGGTAAAAACAGGGGGAAACAGATCCTACAGTGAGGTATTGGCGGGATTACGCACGAAACTAAGACCTACAAAAATCGACGGGAAAACTGGGATCTCGCAAGGTGCAGGAGAAGATGTACTGTTGAGGGTACGGGATCAAATAAAAGATGAAGCCCTAAAAATCGCCAGCATCCTCAAAAGCGAGGAGGACATGGAACCAAACGTGTGTATAAAGCCAAATCTGTGTACTATGGTCGTATGGGATGTGGATCCTCTAGCTGTGGGAAGCAGAATAGCGAATAACATAAAAAAACGCATTGAGATTGCCGACAAGCACATAAATAACAGTCAGGGACCTTCGACAGTCACGAGACAGTTGGTACTCACTGATACAAGTACCAACCGCACTGGCAAAGAGCATAAAAGACAACAGTAGTGTAAATGGAGTCCTACAAATGCAAGATAAAGGACTGGGTCAGGATACCGAACTCCTTCAGATGCCAGAAAGAAGGCCATAAAGCCTATTAGTGCAAGGAAAAAGTCAAAGCAGAAGGAATACGATGCTTCCACTGCGGGAATACAGGACATCCAGCCAATAGCTGTGACAGGCGGACCCCTTATCGCCATGAATGCAGATTGACGGCCATAGAGCCACATCAATGCAATGCCCCAAATATAAAACACTAGTGGATCGAGCTCGAGGTAGACGGAAAGGAGAGAGTAGGACAACGACAAAGCCCCCTCTTCTGAAGAAGGAGCGGCAGAGCCAGGAGAGACTATCGATAAGACAGGGAGAGAAAAGGACGGAAAAGCACAGAAGAGGAAGAAGAGCGCAAACAGACCGACTATTGACGAAGAAAACTTCATAACGCCGTCGGCAAAAAAGACTGTTAGACGACCCGAAGAAGTGTCAAAGAAACAGAAGCGGATAGCGGATAGTGGAAGAGGAGACA